CCTGGCTGAGCCGGTGTGGAGGCGTCAGTGCTCCAGGGAAAACACAAAGCAATAAAAAGGCCACAGTGCTAACCTGGCTCCTGATTTTCCGGGCATATTTGTGCCCACATTAAATTAGCCTTGAAATACTGTGCCTGACACTTACTAGCTTTTTTTTTTTTTCCCCTGGATAATTTTTTGCAGATGGTAAGTAGTGTGCTGCCAGACAACCCAATGGGGGGGAAAAAATAAAAAATCAAAGTTAGAAAGGACTGGTGGTTTCATGAGTTAGTGGGAAGAGGTCTTGGCCAAGCCTGTATTTTGGGGGAGTGGGGTGGTGACACTTCATTTGGAGGATATTTTATGTGCTCTGTTTAGAAAGACAAGGCAAGATCACAGAGAAGCAATTGGTTCAAAAGAAACGAAGCAACGTGTTTAAATGCATTATTGTTGGTTGGCCATGAGATGTCTCTGCAAGCCCCAGGCACCAGACAGCACTTCTTCTGAGTACCAGGAGAGCTGGAGACCACGCTGCAGGCTGATGCTGCTGCCACCGCTTCTTGTCTCTACTCATTTTACAAATTCCTAGTTTAAAAGCTCATGGATCTCCCTTGTAGGAAGGCTACAAGCACATGAACAAACCTTGCTTTGCCCAGTAAACCAAGGAAAATGGAAAGAGGGTTTCTATAAATTGCACTGGGCAAAGCACCAACAGAAAGCAGCAAAAAGAAAAGATGAAGAGCTGCACTTGGCCAGGTGCTGATGAGAGGAAGGAAATGGGCTTAAAGTTGTTTTATTGCAAATACATTTTAGAGTTAGCAGTAAAAACAACAAGGCGTTGCCACAGCTTTGCTCTTGAGGAAGAATGTGAGAACCACGATGCCTCACATCCAACTTTGTGAAGAGATGTCTGGATCTGTGCTGACGACGCAGTCTGGGCTCAGACACCTCTTACAGCCCGTGCCCCCTCCAGCCCCTCTTTCCAGTTGTCTCCCAGCCCAGCTGTGTGCAGATCTCCACCCCGAGGCTCTGGGTAGTGAAGCAGCTACAGACCTGACGCTTTGATGGCCCGGGTGGCCGCAGAGTGGCCCAGCTCAAGGGAGTGGATAAAGACTTCGGTCAGCTTTTCTCCCCCAATGAAGGTGAGCTGCAAGGGGAAGAAGAGAGGAGACACAGTGGTGAGGAGACCCAGCCCACACCAGGCAACATTCACCTCTCTCACTCCTTTCTACAAGGAACAGGTCAGTTTGGGAAAAGCCTTTCACATTTTCAAAACAGCCCTTTTGACCACTGCCTTGGGTGACACCTGCCTTTAGCTGTGCTGCTGACTGTTCTAACAGACCTCCAGCAAGTAAAACAACCCAAAAACCTAATTTTCACTTAAAGAAAACTCCCCAACCCACTGGAAAGAACAACCACAACGAGGCCAAGAGCAGGGTCTGAGCATCGCTTTGGGCACCACTCATCCCACAAACAGCAGCGACTCTGCTCAGCACAGCTGGTCCCACCCCACAGCACCACAGCAGTGGCTGCAGCTGAGCATTCAACCTTCCCCACCACGCCTGCTCCATGCACACAGCGGGGTGTGGACAACAGGCTTCATGGAGGGGCTTGGTTCGGAAAGCAGAGTGCTGGAGGGACTGCCAGTGATGTGGATGACCTGTCAGCACTGACAGGAGTCGCTCTGTGCCATGGGGAAAGGTATTTGGATGGAAAACTGCTCGTGTGACTTAAGGATTGTCTGGGCAGGACCTGTGTGCTCTCAGTCCCTGAGCCAGGAGCACCAGCCAAAGCACCATGGGCACCTGGGGAATCGGAGGAGGCTGAGCTCTGCCTCACCAGCATCTGGTGGTGTGTCATACCCCAAACCACTTCACAGGCAGGTCCCAAGGTGGCGGCACAGGCAGAAGACCCCCTTTACCCCTCACCAAGACGATGCTAAGACCCTTCACCTACCTCTGTCTGGTAGAGCTGCAGCAGGACAGGGCGCGTGGCGAAGCGGCAGTAGTAGAGGATCACGTCGGCCAGGATGGGCAGCTGCTCCTGAGAGTTCTCCTGGGGCTCAGACTCCGGCTTGGCAGACTGTGGGTCACAAGCCCAATGGGGTACGTGGTACCCACAGCCCAGGGTCAAGAACTGCCCATCCCACTCCACCAGGGACAGAAACCCTTCTCCTGACCACCCATCTCCATCCCATCTCCATGTAGCACAGCCTGCTGTACAGGAGTGTTGTGGCCCAATGCTAAGCAGAAGCTCTCTGCTCAGCTGCCCTGTACCTCAGAGAAGGGGGACACCAAGGCCTACCAGCTGGCATGCACATACCTGACACAGGACATCCATGGGCAGGTTCATCAGCCCAAGAACATTGCGCTCGTACCATGGGTCCAACATGCCAATGTAGTGGGAGATGTCATTGGTGCTGCTCTCCGTCCCAGCTAGGGTGGGATCCTGAAACCAGGCACACAGGGGTCAGAACAGGAGCCCCCCCCAGGCTCCTCACCCCATGCTTGGGATTGGTGGAAGAGACACCAACGCTCCTCTCAGCCTGCTCTGCTCCTTGCACACCACTCTGGGGACCAAGGAGGGTGCTGGTGGCCCTGTCAGCCCCATGGTGAGCAGGACACTTACCGCCGGTGCTGAGTCCCGGAGCTGCGGGTCCCCCAGGGATGGGGAGGGATGCATCAGTGGGGTCGGTGGAGCCAAGCAGTTCCTCTTCACAGGGACGTAGAAAAACTGCAGCTTGAAGTACCTTGTCAGTGAGGGGCAGGTGCTCTCCTTCAGCCTGGGAGAAAGCAGGAGACGGCTGGGTGAGCAAAGCTCTCCAGCGTGTCCCAGCAGGGCCGGGTACCTGCAGCCGGGTCCCCTGCACCACCCGGCTC